AGCAACTTTCAAAAGGCTCTCTGTACAGCCTGGTAAATTGCAGAAAAATGGTCATACTCTGTGTGTTCAAATTCCTACATACTTACTCTGGATGCGTCACAAGATCATGAGTTATCGTATATACTCGAGTATAAGCCGACCCAAATATCAGCCGAGGCACCGAATTTTACCACAAAAATTACATAAAAAGTGTGCTGCAAAACTCGGCTTATACATGAGTATATATGGTAAGTGAGGTGAAATAATATCTACATAAAATCAGAAAATCCAGGGACCACTATAGAGCAATGCAGAATGTTATATTACTACTAAATGTGGTCTGAATCGCTACCTGATAATCCATGCAACCTCCTACTTCTCTCATATTCAAGATTATTTTTCTTATCCTCCTTAGTCTATACTTAATCCACTAACACAAATTTCTGACTTTCCTGTTTACGAAAATGTTCCTTTTTAGTACTCATTGCTATTAACTGAAAAATTTCTTTTTCATTAAAAACAGTCTAGTACCAGGGAGTTTCAAAAAGATCATGAAAAACTCCAGGAATCTTTTCATTCCATTCTCCACAAACTATTGGAAGCTTCCTGGTATATTTCTGGAGCTCTGGTGCTACAGTGGACAGCAAGGTTGGCAAGCATTTCAAACCTGTCACTCCATGGGAGAAAGAGCGTGCCGGGTCAGTGAAGATTCCCAGTCTGGGAAACCAGAGGGAACAGTACTACCCCTAACCTATAGGCTCCCGATACGTTGGAGTTGACCATGATGGTGCTTCTTGCTTTGTTTTCACGTATGGATAATTCTTCTGGAGCCCAGCAGTCCTTTAAATATTAAGGGAACAGACTGCCATGTAGAAACCTTTTGAGAAGTTTTACTTCCCACTTCCCTTCATAAACCCCATCTAACTCCAACCACAGACCAGCAAGGCCACTCCCAGAATGGCAGGAACGACAGCGACCACGTGGAACAGTCAGTTTTCCAAGGGCCAGTCCTCTTCTTCTTCATCCAGTCTCCAAGCTTGTGGCTCCAGCTGGGCTCCCGGCACAGGGTGCCCACACGTGACAGAGTAGAAGTGCCCCAGCAGGTTTCCAAGGCTGGCTGCTCTACGACCTGCACAACCTCATCTTTCTCCTGTGATGCGGCCACCGTGGGTTCAAATCTCACATCGTTCACTTTGGGGCCAACTACTCAATCATGGTGCTGCCAGGAACCCTTCCCAGAGGCTAGGGGTTCAGGACAACAAATGTTTGCTTTTCCTCAGCATAACTCAGTTTTGTATTAGTAAGAAAACACAATCTCCTAAATTAATATTTACACCCATCTTGATTCCAAGCTCTTATTGACATTAGTAAGGACATTAAAATATAGTTACTTTGTAATACTTTTTTTGGGTACCCCCCCCCTCCCCAGTCAAGGGGGAAGTTCTTTTACACCAAGACATGGACTCAACTCTACACCTGGGCAGAAAGGTAGCCAAAGGGTAAGGAAGAAGGAAAGCAGTCCCCTTCAGTAGACACAGGAGCAAATGGCTTGGCTGCATCAGTTCAAGGCCGTGTTTTATTTTTGGCAATCATTTTAT